GGGGCCCCCCCCCCCCCCCCCCCCCCATTGGATTGCACCACTGCCTCGAGCTCTTCCTGGTTTGCCCATGCATACACTGGCATTTTGGAGGTGTCGCTCCATACGCTTTCGCCAAGATGGAGGTCGTATGAGGGATGTCGTCGAGACGCTGGGAATTGGGGCAGCGGGGGGGGGGACAAAAGGAATGAAAAACAATTTCCACCCTCGCAGGCTACTGTCGACGGATTAATTCCTCATGTCATGGATGCTGATCTCGATCTGCACTCGATGCGCTGACATGGATGTCACATTGCAGTTTTCTCCTGAAAGACAAGTGTCTCCGCTAGTCTTTGTGATCCTCTCATGCAATGAATCCTCTCGTCGTGTGACGTCCTTCGGATTCAGGGACCACTTCTGCTCACAATATATATCGTAGGTACTTGCAGCCACGGGCTCAGTGTCATCGTGAATGGATTTGGCAACCCCATTCTTCCTATGAGAGAAAGAGAGAGAAGGGGGGGATGGGACTGACAACCAGCTGACATTTTATGACCCCTAATGAGGTGACCGATGTAACTAGCCCCGTAGGGCTAAACGTAGGGCCAACACTATTGGCCTGAACTGGAGTCTCTCGAATATACGCCCGTTCTTAGGAAGCGTCTTTGTGGTCTGTTTAGTTGCGTTTCCCTAATCGTTGGTAAACCATAAAGGATGTGCTTCCTCATTTTAGTAAACGGTTAAGCTCATTGAAGTGTGAATCGTTCGCTTTCCAAACGAAAAACGTGTGGATATGAAACAGTTAGGCGAGACCTACTTAAGTCGGTTCGAAGCTCTTCATTACGCCTGACAATACAAAAAAAAAAACATTTGTTATTTTTAAAAAAATTCGAAGACAGATTGATGTCAGAAGTACTTAGCGAAGCGTGGAACTCTGGGGGGGAAATTTAGGCCTGTCACATTTTCTTTCACTTCCAAACCGTCAGCTGCAAAGAGCTGTCGTCTCTTAGGGGGGGGCGGTGCATCGGCACTAAATGGATCTGCCAGACTAGAGGAGACATCAATGTTAAAAGCTGCCAGGGTCTCCTTTCGTTTCCCCTTAATGTCCCCAATCATCAACGAAATTCCTAACAGAACTGAAGTAATGCACGGAGCCAGTCGAGCTTTTGATTACGCTCTCCTTACATCATGGCACGGTAGAAAGATGAATTCATCCAGTGAAAGGAAAACGCTGTTGTTTGCGATGGAGGAGAAGAGAATCAATTAAAGAAGACGCAGTTGTGTTTCTGGAAGGGCCGTTACGCGTCAGCTGCTCCACGCACGCCCCAGCTGCCACGTGCTGCGGTGGGCGCGTGCCACCACCAACCGGCCCTTCCCCTAAGGCTCGATCTCCTTCCGTGCGACACGAAACTCTGACCCTTACGGACGCGGGGACCACAACCCACCTGCTCTCCCCGACACATGGAGGCCACCCTGCTTCGCAGGCTCGTGTGTCAGTCGATGGATACGTCGGTATCGGGAAGATGGCCGAGGACCTCGTTTTCAATTTTAGCCCCGTGTTCTGGTCTTATCCCGACGCCGAATGGACCAACCTCACGTGAGTTCTCACCTTTCCAGATGTTTTTCCGCCTCCCTGTTTTGAAAAATTAATTTCAATAATTTTATAAAAGCTTCATTTCAAAGCTATCGCAATATCGGTAATTAATACTTGTACTGAACAAGTGAGATTTATCGACACGCATTTGCTCGAGGAAATAACACCGAAATGTTAGTCGAAAATGTTGGTAAACACTTCCTCGATGTGGGAACCTCATCATATATGCGTCAAGAGCTTTCGTAATGAAGAAAGTACTTGTTTGCCAGTTCCAGTTTCTTGGAAAGGTCACCATTATTGCTCCTGCTGTCAAAATGAAGGCAGGGCCCCTCTCATCAATCCTTAGAAGGGAGGCAGTAACCCGATTAATAAATCGCGGCAGAGAAAGCTTGTCGACTTCTCCAATCACGAGGATTCCGGGAAACTCCCTTCACGGTCACAAAGATTCATTTTCCTCAAGTTCCCTTCTGTTTGTCTCTCTCTCTGTGCGCAGAAATGCGTCGTGAATTTTCCCGGGATCCGTCGTGACGGCAACTGTGGATGATTCTCGGATATCCAAGAAATAATGAATCCTCCTCTGCCGCCAGGATGAAAAGCATGCGGATCAAAGAATGCCGTCTCATGCATTCCCTATGGAAGCGCTCATCTCGAACGGCGTCTGTCCGTGGGACTTCGTGCAACGAAGACCGTTCTGCATCCGACAATAGCCTGGTGTTCGTGCAGAACTAATTGGCGGAGGCGTTAGGGAAGATGCATGATAGATAAAACAGAGAATGTTTTCATATCGAAAATCCGAGGAAATGGATTCGAAAAAGAGCAGAGAGAAACCGGTATTTATTGGCCGAGTCCGAAATTCAAATCATCGTCGGGGAATCTTTCCTCTCGCTGCAGGACTCTATACCGTGCGTAGAGGTCTCCTACGCATGAGTATGCCGATGAAAGTGCGTCCTTGAATATCGAATAAAAAATGTCGGAATGGGATGGGATTGATCGGGTAGAACAAAAACGGGAGGCTCGTCTCCGTGTCCTTGCGGCCTTCGCGAGCCTGGGCGAGTTCGATCCTCGCCGCTCCGTCTCGTACGACAGGTCTGGCAGAATCCAGTCCTGCTTTTTTTTTTCATTCCATGAGTCAGTTTCTTTCTTTACTTTGTGCTCTTTTCATCGCCTGAAAGCGTTTTGGAAGTTCGATCCGTCTCGGCCCAAGATCGGCCAATCGCGATCGACAAGGCTGTAAACATCTCATTTATCATACTTATTCACTCGGCCTTTCTTATTTTTAGAAGAGGAGAGGGAGACTCTCCTCTTCTAAAAATAAAAAAAGCCTGGAACAAAAAGGAAGGATGATCTTTGACGGGCTTTGGAAGGTGAGAATAATGGCACCCCATTAGCGGCCTGCGCCGCCTGGGCCTTCCTTGGCCTGGACAAACAGAAACTGAATTGTTTGCCGAACGAGGCCCAACAAGGACTGACGCTTTACCATCTCGAGGTAGTTTACCTCTATGCACGAGTAATATTTTTTTTTATACCGATGAACTTCTGTAAGGAAAGGAAGACGGAACTTAAAGTGTTTCCATGGGTTCTCTAGGCCCATGGAAATGAGTTCCTATGCAACAAATCGATCGCTTTCAAGTCGTTCGGGCGAGTGAGAAATCCACGGATCGGAAATAGAGTCACTTGAGAATGAGGATGACGGCAATCTAGTGCAAGGGAGATGGATTTAACTCCGGCGGAGCTCCATTTATCGGAGCCGGAATGCCGAAGGCGTAGCTCCAAGGGTGACTACGCAAACGAGCGCGTATGCAGTGGGTATGGGAGGGGCAATCGGACGGAACCCCGTAGGTAAGCCGGACGCGCGCCAGGCTCGATCAGGAAAAGGTAAGGCCTTCAGGTAGATGAGGTATGGGGGGGGGGGGGGACGAACAAGAGCGAATGAAAGGTTCGCGAGATTTGCACTCGTACATATATATGGAGGTGAGGGCTACTTTAACTCTTTGAGAGCCTGAAGAGAGAGAGCCATTCAGTCAGGAGAGGGAGTTCTCAGAATTCTCTCCGATTCGATGCACGAGAGGAAAGACGGTGGGTCGGAGGGCAATGAGAGCCAAGCGTTTTTCGCGGTTTCTTGAGCTAACTCAACATCAACCGCAATGCAAGGCGTGGTTGGAATGGAATAGTTCAGCACAAGAGAGCTCGCGTTCACACGGGCGTCTCGCTATGCCGTCCTTGTCGTCAATATGACGTATCACATGGGCGCTAGGCAGTGGATCGAGGAGAGTCGTCGAGGCCCAACAGCGTCAAATCGCGTCGATTTGACGTTGCAGGGCCTCGAATTGATAATTCTACGATGAATCTTGATGGCTTTCTTTTGACATCACTCGTAATCAACTATCGTTCATCGTATGCGAAGTAAATGTCGCCATGATAGGTTATGACGACGTTTCTTTGCTCTGATTAACTGAGCACGAGTTTCTTGCGCAATGTGTTGAATCGGGCCCGACTCTTTGCACAAAACCCAGGGCCCTGGTTTCGGTCGCACGAGAGACCTTGTGCTACGTCACGACGTGCTGTGCGGTCTATGTTGTGCGGTCGGCGTGAACGAGTAATTGGGTGAACCGATCACGTGCGACAAATGGGAAGGAGAACGAGAGAACGAACATGTCCCCCTCAGGGCAAGCGAGGATCATACGCAAAAGGGGAGACGGGGAATGCAGGGATGCAGACTGATTTAGGCACCGCGTGCATGCGCACTGGAGCCGAAACCGTGGGATCGAGGATGAGGAAAGGGACGGTGTTTGGGGAAAGAGCGAGTTCCTAGAAGCACTTCAAGAATGAGAGACTCGCGATAACGAATCCACTTGCGGAGGGGAACCCAAAACTTTCCAGCGTTCTTATCTCGTCTTTCTATACAGGGTGGCGCAAAAAAAAGTCTCCTGTCTGAGACTTCGAAAAACCTCTTGTAGAAATACTAGATTTGTCTAATTTTTGTATCACGCAGAAAGCGCCATAAAATTTGCTTCGTGAAAGTTTAGAAAACTCAAGGTTTTTTTTGGCAAAGAACGGCAATCGTTGAAACTTCCGAGAGAATTTCATTTTTCCACGCATCAGGAAGCAACGTCTTCAGCAGTACTCTACAGATGTGCCCCATTTGTCGCCAAAGAGCCTGCTTCTGATGGTTGCATTCTGGTTGCAGTTCTTGACCGTGCCGTGTCGTGATGTCGTATCTTTCAAAGAAAAAGTGGCTGCGTTAAAAGAGTGTTTTTAAAGGAAGGACTGGAGAGGGAGGAGACTCCACAGACTCCACGGAGCGGAGTCCACCATTTCCTATTCAACTCACACTGTTATCTTCCCTCTCCAGTCCTTGTACTGTCCTTGTGACTACATCCGTTGCAACTACATCGAATTCAAGCCTTACCTTCTCACCTGTGGCCAAAATACACCACACGATCAAGAACACTGAGGACACAGCATAGAATACAGCCTCTATGTCTCAAAGAAGAAAACTTTTTGAGCAGGAATTAAACAGGACACTATTTTTTTATCGTCACCCGATATAGCGCCAATAAGAATGTCAGTGAGGAAAAAACTCGAGTCTTCTGGCACGATGCTTTTTGCCGTCACCGGTCGGTCGATCTCGATGAAAGCGGCAACTTCCGGATTTCCTTTCGCTAATTCTACGGCTGCGTAGGAATCGATTTACCCCTCCATTCCCCTACTTTATGAGGTTCAAGTTGGTGCCGATCCGGGACGACCCGATCTCGACAATCTATCTAAGCGATCTATTTACGTCATATTTCCTCAAGTTACCTTCACCCCCGTATTTACTCGAGGGAAAAGTATTTTTAGACGGGGCTGGAAGCATGACATCGATGGCAGACATCCTCTGACGTCCCATTTCATCCATGGCAATATTGAATGTCTCGGAAATGATGGCAATATTGAATGTCGCGGTCACGGCTTTTCCTGCTGCCGTGTCATGCCTCGAGCCGTGTCAGGCCTTGAGAGATGTCAGGCCTTGAGCCGTGCCATGCTCTCTGCGGAGAGGTCGGGAAAATCGGCTTTTCTTTGCTTTCAGGCTTTAATTCATCTGCATATATTTCTGTCTGAAAAGTGGATCTGTTTAACGTCTCTGGATTCTCAAGGACGTGAGAAATCCATTTAAACCGGCTGAAACTTTAAGGCTTGTGACATGAGGATCATGAGCACGATGCTCTAGCGGAAATTTTCACATCAAGAATGCTCCTGAAATATGCAAATTGGAGATAAATTATTTTGTGTTCCCCATCGCGATTAAAGGGAGTGTGATGCATTTCATCTTTGCTTTAAAAAAACGCAATAAATTTGTGCTTAAAAAATGTTCAGCACTTAGTAAGACGAATAAGAGGGGTTTTAATAGAAATTTATCCTCTTTTACTCGAGCAGCTGTCTTGCAAATTACTTAATTTATAGCACGCGTGCCCTTTTGTTTTTTATGCACGCGATTAAAACGAACACATTTACTCAAATAACCTCATGATTCATTGCACAGCTTCTTCATCTCATATTCATGAACAATCTAACGCAATCGTGAGCATCAGATGAATCGAGAAGGAAAGGTCGCGGCATTTGAATGATTGGACATAAGTGAAGAAATGAAGGCATGAAAATGCCTTTTTACTTCTGCTATATGTCAAAGCAAATGCCATGCACGCTTCATTTATATTCATTCCAAATCTCATCTGAGTGGGTGCACGAACATTATAAAGTGAAGAAAAGTCTAGATTTCTGGTATTTTCCCCCTGCATAACTGACAATTCAGATGTAATTTAAGTCCCATCGTTTGCGGATGGAGCGATAATTTTTCTCACGTCTCGGTTTTGGCAGACCGAACGAGATGTTTCCCTTTCGTACCTCGAGCACATTTAGAATGAATTTACAATTTTTGCAATGTTTTGTACCGAGGCACTCAAATATTATGATAGGGAAATCGGATCCCGTGACGTCGTTTTGCACGAAGAACCGGATCGTTCTCATCTTGTAGCGGTTTCGTCATCGATCAGAAAGGAAGGAGCAATGCATCTTGCAGTAATCTCGTTGTGCGTCACTTGCAAGGCGAGGACAGGGAAGAAATACCCCCATAGAGGCTTCTTTAGTTATGGAGCTGTTTTGACAACATCTCGTGACGCACACGCTGCCTATAGGATGGGAGGGGGATGGGCAATAGGAATGACGTCTCCTGACGTCCCGTTGCCATGGAAACGGACCTGGCTCCTCGCTCTTCCCCGCTTTCCACCGCTTCTCTTCCCTTCCCTTCCCTTCTCTTCCGCTTTCCGGGTCGGAATCTTACATGACCTTCATGCATATTATATGTTTCGTTTATGAGGTTTCTCAAAAGCAGATGAAAAAGGTCGACAAACTTGCTTTAATCTCTGGATAGGGCAATATGTTCTGCGGATCAGACGCCATCAAGAGCGCAATTGGGCCTAATTGCTTCCAATCGCGATGGCTGTTATATTACCGTTGAAAAGTCATAGTTCACCAGCCGGCAATTCCCTGAGTCATGCCATCGTTTGGCTTAATCAATGCTCTCTGTGACACGTGCAGCGAGACTTGAGTTGGGATTGCCTTTGGAATGAGGAATACTTCCCAATTTTGCTTAGGCTTCTTGGCTTCTGAGGTTGACCGCAGAAACAGATTATGTAAATGCTAACTGCCGTGTAACCCCTGGCGAAGTCGTTCCAACCGCATCGATAAGCTTTTCTCTGGAGCTTTCGTTTGCCTGGAATTTTGCAATAGATTTATCATATTTCCTTGGGGTTTTCTGGTGTTGCTATGGAATCGTGGTCGATGAAAAAGCCAACGAATGAGACTGGTCGTTATGAAATGTGTGTATGAACATTGTGTCGGCCCAGGCATCCACTTTTCCCAATCATCTTTATTGGTTCCTTTACTTCCTTATTTGTAAGGAAGTAAAGATGATGGGGGAAAAGAAGTGTCCTTTCCTTCCATAGAGTCTCACCTCTTTCTCGCTTTATGTTGAAAACTTTTAGCTTTTCCTTTCTTACTCTATTGCACTTCGCCAGCATTCCATGACAAAATGGTATCGAAAAAGCCTTTGTTAGAAAAATTAGGCTCGACTTCATTTTTATCGAATGATCGCAGAAAGTTTTTTTTTTGCTTTTGTTCAAGCAAATGTGAAAGCTTTCTTCCTTCTGAATTTCTCTAATAGCCTCCTCATTCCTTCTTTTCAAATATGCATAGCATAAAATAATAATAGTAATGATATTGAGTTCTTCCACAGATCCCCTTATTGATTCACGAGTTTCGGGAACCATGATTGCAATCGCTATTTATCAATAACTGCGGTTATTGTGTTGGCTCGAAAGTTTTGGATAGGTGATTTCGTTTCGCGACTTCAACCGTGGCTCTCGAAACTCGCGGATTGAAGAGCAGAAACTGCACCACGTCCGCTTTCGATTCCATTATTGCCTTCTTCATTTTCTAATATGGATTTTTCGAATATGAATTACATATCCTTGGAAACGAACGAGTCGAAGTCGACGAGTGAGCAGTGAGTTCGAGGAATGCTTGAAAATCGAACTGTGATTACCCCGCTAGAAGAGCGTCGCCGTCCGTGACCTTTAAAAAGTCTCAAGAGTAGTATTGATTCCCAGACCCACTATGATGGGAGTAGTAAGAAGAGGGAGAGGGATGAGGAGGGAATGTGAAAGGTGGGATACTGAGCAGCTCCCTCCCTCCCACTTAGGCCGGGGCTCTCTCTCCCCGGGAGCTCAGTTTACTCGTAGCAAGTGCGGCTGCTCTTCCTCCTTCCTCCTCCCGCGATATGTGGCTCTCGTCCTCGCGTCTCCCTCCCGCGGTAAGGACCGTGACTTTTTGTTGCATTTCAGCTTCAATGGTCCCTGGAGACCGGAATATACCCATAGGCATCGATTTAGGATGGAAGAAAGGGAGTCGTGCTCCTTCCCCCATGCGACAAGCGTCCGCATTTCTTCTTTTTCTGCTCTTCTCTTGAGAAGTGGACGCGGAAGCAGCGTTGGGATTTTGGGGACTCGACATAAGAGTGATGGAATTCCGAGGTTACTTTCATTTCTTATTTTTGCCCGGGAGGGTGAAGGCTTCCTCAACAGGAACATGCCATATGTAATGGTGGATACGGGAGGGAGGGTATGACATGAAGTCCTTGCGAGGGCAAGCATTGCTCACCCATTTCAAGTTGAAAATTGAAGGGGTCTCGGAAAATATGACTTTCTGTGGATCGTACGAGTAAAAATTCAATTTCCATCAAAACGTTTGATTTCACAGGGAGTCCTAAAAGTCACTGCATCATTTCGAACTTGAATACCTTAAAATTGACGGAAGAGGAGAGGAAAACGTGATCTTCTTCAAGTACCGCCTCTACCAATTTGCTCAGTGTAAAAATGAGTCAATGGACATCATTGTATCCCTGTTTCAAAATTATTATGAGAAAATAGAAAATGTATTGGATATCCGAAGCCAAATGAGATGCTCGACGTTGTCTTCAATGGTGCCTCAATATTCTCAATGGTTCTCGATGGTCTTCAATAGCTTGCCAGAATTTAGAAATGTCAAGATAGTAAAGGGAATAGTGTGGCTTTTTAAAAGTGCTTATTTCAAGAAACTATTAATAGAATGATCATTGACTTAATTATTTATACGTAACAAAATGGAAAATGTTGAAGTTAAGGAAAATCTTACATTTTCTTCCCTTCTGTCACTTTTAGGATATTTAAGCTTGACCACACATAGTAATTTTTCAGACACCTTGTAGCAATATTAGACTTGAAACGTACCATGCCGGAATGGGCGTGAAGCAATTTCCAGGGATAAGGAAGGAGAAGAGGAGTTTGGAGGTTGTCCCTAGCCCCAACAGGTTGCAAGGAAGAAACTCTCTGGGCAGCCACGTTTTGGGGAAATCATGGAAATTTCTCCGATGTAAGAGCTGAAATGGTGTGAATAATTTGCTCTCACTGCTGGAGAAAAATGGAATATTCTTCACTCAGAAGCCAAACGAGATCAGGATCAGGCACTTCAAGTTTGATTACGATGCGAAAAATGCATATGAAAGGTGATGGAAAACGTCGGCATATCTGCGCATTTCCAGATTTTTTTTAATCGAGGAGGATTAAGGATTTTCGGAAAGGTGGTTGCTTAGCGAGCTTATTCCACTGTGAATTCCTTCCCTTCTTCCTTCGTCCTTCGATGTCACTTTAGAACCTTGGTCGTACTGGCACCGCCAGGCTTTCATTACCAAATCAATCGTTCCCAAGTGCCCATCCTCGGCATCGATTTTTCACCCATTAAATTCTCAAAAAGCCACCTCGTGACCCGTGATCTCTACCCGTTACGTAAAGGATCTCTTTATATGCAATGAGTTCGTAAAGGGCAGGTAATGAATGCCATGGCGAGGAATTCACTCTCATTACCTTCCCGAGAACATAAAAGTTCGGATAGAAATGAGAGATCTGGGAAGATTCGACTGGAAGTACCACTCCTACGTGATCCCCACACAGCCCACGCTCAATGCTGCCCACACCGTCAATCTTCAAGTGTTTGAAGGATCATAAAATCGATAGCAGAAAAAACGTTCGGCTGTCCGAGAGCACTTAGTATTATCTACATACGGTTCCTCGGGGATGGATCCAATTGACATATACAGGGTGATCCCAAAAAAAAGTAACCAGTGTAATGGGAAAATTTCATTATAGTGGTTTCAAATTCAAATTTCAAATTCACTTGTAATGCCATTGTATTTATGGTTACGTTCTCGTTTAAGCATACATTAATGCGTATAATTTCATTCCGTATTTAAAACCTGGTACTAAAGTATGATCTGACATCCCGAACTTGCATTGCTTATTCTCCGTTAGTGGTAACATTTTTTGGACCACCCTGTATAAGTAGGAACACGAGGTCGGCCAGCAGACCTCACCTCTCCGATCTCATTCAGTATTTCGGTAGTTTGAGAAGATAATTCGCGAGACCACTTAGTGCTTCCCATCCCATACAAAATGTTCGTCCGAATTTCACCGCTTTTTCCCCACATCTTTACCTGAAGGGTCTACTGACAAGTTGAGAGACCGGGGGAAAAAAAACCGGTTTTTTACCTCAGTTTCAAAGTCCCAATTTTACCTCAGGGGGAAATTTGTTGTAAGGGATAGAAATTCAAGAGATGGATAAAAGCAAGCTTAATTAGAATCGGACCTGTTGCCAAAAGGCAGATGGAGACAAGAATGCGGGAATCGGATATGGCCTTCTTTCGTCTCGTTCTCCCTCATTAGTTGCTTCATAATCGCAAGGAGCTCATAACCTCATGAAAAGCCTCATGACTGCTCAACTCACCGCAATGTCCATGCCATTTTCATAAGTAATTTCTTATGACGCGAGGAATTACTCTTCATTCGTCGTATGTATTTCATGCTCCCGGGGAACCCCTTCGACGGAAAATGAAGGGAAATGCCGGAGGAATGTGTAGCGTCCGGATATTCTTGTGGTTTTTTTCGCTCTTTCGCCTCTATAAATGACTCAAGGAGTTCGAGATGAACCGAGATTCTTGGAAGATTAGAAGTTAGTTTGCTGAACGAAATATCTATTTACAGGATACAATGAGGAAAAAGGGGGAAAACATTTTCTCGAAAGAGTCGAGACGAAAATAAAACTTTCAATATAAAAAAGTATTATGGATAATACGAAAACACCCACTCGCACTCATCAGCCGTCTTGAAATTCTAATTGGCTTATATTTCTACGTGTTTCCTCTATTTCCAGATCTGGGACGCAAAATGTAGCTGATGCACTCAGACGATCTCGATACTTGGTTCAACATTACAAGTGAGTTGCACAAATCAAAATATCTTCAACCGCGTTATCATAAACGGCTGCAAAGATATCCTTAACGCTGTTCACACCTTTTCCTGTTGGTCTTTATTATTTTTCCTCCTTTATTCCCCACCCCTGCCTTCAGATCAAGCCAATAGATCGAGCAGATCGAGCCTTCCTATCATGCAAATAAGAAATATTCCACTTTCTCCCCCAACCTTATGATCTTTATCCCGACGCTCGAAGCAAGTTTTTGATATCGGGGTCGGCCGGTTCGCTTTGTTCTAAAAGAATTCCAAGCCATAAAAGCGTATTATTTAAAACTTCTTCTCGGTAAGCGTACTTTAAAGGCTTTCTTGCAGCTACATAAAAGACTAACTTTAGCCCTGGAATGAATTGCAGCAAGCGGCGGAGCTCGGTGGGAGAGAGCGAAGTGAGCGAATCGCCGCCGGAGACCCCGACGAGCGTATCGAGTTGCGAGGAGATGCCACGAGCGAAGCATCTGGAAAAGTCCCTCACGGCGGATAACCTGAACGACCCGCGGGGCCGGTCCTCACAGGGCATCTACCGTCGTCTGTACCTGTGGTTCCAGGCGAGAACCCGGAGAACGAACAAACCCGGGTGCGATTCCGTGATGGCCAAGAAGAGGCTCAAGTTGCTGTTGCGCCACCCGTCGGAGAACCGGGGACCAGCACAGACGAAGGCGACCGGCGGAGGCGATAGCGAGGAATCCTTCAAGCGTTACCAGACGGACAGTGGAGTCCAGAGTGCGTCTTCGACGGCCCCTCACACGCCGTCGAGCGACCGAGATCTCCGCATCAATCCCAACGTCCTCCTCCCCGAGAAGTATCGAAACCCCGCGGTCAGAGCGTCCAACGGCACGAAGGCCAGCGACGACCCACCCAAGGATCCTCCCAACGAGGAGGGGGAATTCCCCTTCGATGTCGTCTCCACGTGGCCTTTCTCCGGCCTCTTCGATGCCGAGGGTGAGTCCCACTCATCCGCACGTTCATGGATTCGTCTCTCGTCACATCGATGCGAGATGCGACTTTTCACTCTATTGTCTTTTTTCGCTCGTACTTGAAGTTCTCATATTCTTTCTTTCCTTCTGTCGCAAAATTTCGTGCCCTTTATGCTGCTTTCAAAGGAGTAATAGAGTTGCATTCAGGAAATGCCCATAAGTCTGAAACAGGAATGTTGCTCCCGGGAAGATGAGAAACATTTTTAAAAAGTATTTTTTTCGAAGTCCGTTTGTAGCTAAAGAATGTCGACTCCCCCAGAGATTTATAGATTAGTCCCCTCCACCTCTCCGACCTCGGCGTCGCCCCTGGTCTCAATTCATGAAAGATATATGCACATTGATTGATACGCGTGAAAGCTGTGGGAAACTGGAGGGCTGGAGACCTGTTTCAGTCAATCGTTTCTATTGCTTTCGAAGTCTCTTGTTTTCCTCTCTTTACCCATCATTCATATTCGTTCCCCAATGTGAATTTGCATGAAATTTGAAAGATTCCGTCAAAGAAGCATTGAGAATAAGAGTTTTCCTTATCCTTACTGTGGTCGAGCAGAGGAGGAGGAGTCAGGCGTCGAGGAGCAAGCAGGAAGCATGGGCGAGCCACCGTGGTCCCCGATCGCGGACTGGGTCATCCCCTGGAACGACCTCATATTTGACGAACCCCTTCGCCTCTGCCCCGATGGTGACATCTACCGGTGAGTGATGGAAATATGTGTTCATCCTCATTTTGCCTTCTTCGCCTACGGGATGACATTCCAGACGGATAAGGACGATCCCAATAGCCTCTGCGGTTCTCTATTTTTAGTCTGTCCTTCCCATTTCCACCTCGCCGGTCGTCTGCACACATTGCATTGTGACACGTGAAGGCTGCCGAGACAGACACTCTCATTGCGTGTCCGTCTCGGTGCGGATCCAAACAAGCAAGCGAAGACCTTGAGTGTAATACGTCGTGCAGCGACTCTATCATCAGTGTTAGGCACGTTTCCTTGGCAAGATAGCTAATTACGATTACGAATTCTCTTTCTCAAAATAATTTGGTTAAATATAAATTACTTTCCACAGAAAGTAACAACATGGCGGGGGGAAGGGAAACCAAATATGGCACTTCAGTCAATTATTCACAGGAGAAAGAGATGGAACCTTTTGATGAACCATTGATTTGAAGGACCCAACTCTTTCTGTCAATATGGCTTTCTCCATTCTGAAAAACGATTGGTTATCGTGAACACCCACTGGCCGATATCCCTGTCGAAAAATCGCGGAGGGTTAGCATCTAACCTTTGAATGATTTTCACTTGTGGATCCCAGAGATGGTGCTACGGTAAACTTTTCCTGGACTATTTCACAAGACGTATAAGCACAATGGCGACAATGGACTTTCTCTATTGTCGAATTTCTGCCTAAAAAATCTGGTTTCTTCCTGGCGATTGATTTGTCTTCCAGCAGCAAGGAGCCACATTCCCCAAGTCTCGGGTAACTGACTCATGGATCTGAAAATACGAGACTGAGTAGAGACTGAAATCTAACCAATGAACGGTCCCAATTTGCACCTTTTCATTCGAACAGTTTGGGAAACACTTCAGGACACAATTAACAAGATCACCTTCAGAATCAGAGGAATCTGCCCGCGATAATCACCCAAATTCTCGTTTGGCTCTTACTTTTTTAAATGGCAGAGGCATATGGAATACTTATTCTCATTTGCCTTGGCAAAAAGTTGAAGTTCTCAAAAGCATAGCTCTTGAGTGAATTGCCTTGCTTTCTCTCTTTGTGAATGCATCGAAGAGTCGTGTTTGGTCCACCCTGCCGCTGCAAATGCAATTTCCTTTACAAGCGACTGTACCCAAGCTCTGGCAACTTGGAACCGATCTTTATTCTAACATCATTCCGCGAATGACGTTTCGCAAAATTTCCACTCTTTATTTGTCTTGCATCTTGAACGGAGTTCGAGGGTGTGATCGCATTTGAGATCGTCTTCATAGACGACCTAGGTTCTTAAGAGTACTTCCGAGATATTGGGCTCGTTTCTATTTTGGTGCGAGAGAGCAGGATAGCACGGGGTGCCTCTCCCCCGCGAGTTTGTCCCATGCATGCTTAAACTCGCTCTTAAACCCGACGCTTCTCGGAGATGGCATCTCAAATTCTGCCTCGCCTCACGGTGAAAATGTCCTCTCCTACACAAAATAATCTCCCAGTTGCAGCTCTGGCTGCCAGGAGGATCTTCCATTCGATTAACAGCATTTCCAACCTTGCAGATGATTCCTACGCCGGATGTTAGCCCCAGAAAAGTAACTCGATACCCCAGGAAATGACTGGAGAGTGCTATTCGTAATTGTAACACCTTGCTTTTACTTCATTACCGCACAACACTGTCTAATGTGCAACATTTATCTCATGGCAAAGGCTCCTAATTATATTAACGCAGCTTGGAAGCACCACTACCATTTAGCCCCAATTAAGCCATCCCTTTTTTTTTCAAGTTGTGTCTATGCACTTATCACATTCCATTTCGGAAGTTTCGCGTTTCCCATTCATGTGAAGGGAGCGAAGTGCTCCCTGCATACGAATGAAAAAGAAAATGGAGATTGCTGAAAGTTGTGAAACCCTCCGCTCGCATCCAAGCTCATCCTCTCCGCGCTTTCTAAAACTGATTGCTTCCCATCCTTCATGTTGTTTTTCGTTTTATCGCACTGCGAATATAAAATGTAGGCAAGCGGATCTGGGAATAATATATGCGTGAGCACAATCAAACGTAGAAAACATGAAGATTTGAGACGGTATTCCCCCAGTCCAGGTCGAGTCACTTTGCATGCGACTCGAGGTCGAGATCCAGAAAAGTTAGCTGTCGCTCGTGCCTTTCTCGTTGTAAGAGAACACCAAAATTCAAAATCCGAGATGGAAATTCTGTTCTGGCATAGATTTTGCCGAAAGAATTACCAGCTTCTATCTTTTCTTATGTATCCGCATGCCAATTTTCACAGTGATCGATTCAATATCTTTTTTTTTATAGCTATCATTGTACTAGGTGTGACACACATATATGAGTCTTTACGGTAACCTCTTTCCTTTCGCGAAAAAAAGACCGGCTGAAAGACGATATAGCGGGGGGAAAAGTGAGGAAAGAATTGGAAGTGAGCCACGCGAAATAAAACCCGAGTTTCAAGAAAAGTGAATGGTAACGAAAACAACCGCAGACAAGTACTTGAAAGCAGGGCATATTGCAAGAAAAAAAAAAGAACTGCAGAATGATTAGGACCCCTCTGTAGGGGTGGGTTGGCACGGTGCTAAGCGACCACCCCCTGTGAAAAATTGGGAAGAAAAATTACATTTAGCACCATTTTAAAGTGAAGGTTTGGTTTCAAATTTTAATTCTTGCCCGGTTTTGAACTGCACAAAATATTTCAGAATTGCACACATCTATTACGACTGCACATTAAAATGCTCGAAAGACAACGAAAGAAAAGATTGGAGCTATTTTTATCCGAGAGGAGACAAGTTATCATCACAGACGCATCTCCGTGTGGCATGCGAGCTCCCTCTCGTCGTTTTCTCGTTTTTCATCGCGGATATCGTTCTCGCCCGTTTTTGCGCAGGAGAGAGAAAAATCATTGGAGGGATGCTGCATCCCTCGAATGTGAAGTGGGGATAAATATTGAAGGATTTTTCCACTCGGCTGGCGGTTCTCGGAAACGTTTCAGAATCTGACAGCTGATTCATCGCAAATAGACCTAAAACTCGTAATAAAAGCGTGCCCTCTTCATTTGTGGGGGGGGGGGGGGGGGGAATTTCTTTTCGCCATAATTGGAATGACAGTTCACGCGATTTCGCGCGAAGAAGCATTCCTGCGGAAATGAGGACGGGGAAGTACGGTTGAGAGCTCATAAACAACTTCTCGTTCGAGTCCTATGGGAGAGGTTCCGCTAAAATATTGGTGTCAAATAGAAGAGATTTCCCCAAGGAAAACAACAGTCGAGAAAATTTTCTCTACCGTTAGCTGGGCGTTATTACTAGGAAACGAAAGTTTCCCACCGATTCTACAGCGTATCTGGCGGGAGAATACACGCGAGGTGTCGACTGCACGATCGAGCGTTGTGATCGCTCGAGAGTGCGTCGTCTGTCAATTTTCAGCGAGAGTCCTGTGCCTGGCTAGTTTACGCTTTCCCGTATCGTTTTTTCTCGGTTCAAGACGGAACGATGAACGCGTCATTCGTATTTCGACCCGAGGGACGAGGGCCGTGCTCCCTTGTTTTCCGTCAAATTCCTTACGGCGATTCCGAGGGTTTTCGTTCGTTTTCCCCGTGCACACCTCCATCCGAGCACTCGAGGCCGGCACGTGGGACCGCCTGTTGCATCGATTACGTGCTCGAGACGAGAAAATCGCCACTTTCTTTCCTCGAACTTTCCTTCGTCTCCCGGAGAAGAAAAGGGTCGAACGCCACGATAAAGGTTCCGCCCGCTCGATCCCGGAGACTGTCGGAACCACACTCGGCAGGCTGCGCTTATTCCATATTCCGTATTTCTTTTCTATCGTCTCCCGGAGCGGTCCGTCGTCCTTGGGAGCCAAAATATGTAATGCCTCGGAATGGTCGAAACTCGGTCTCGAAATCTTCCGTCGCGTTCCGTTTCGACGGGAACGTGGCTCGGAAAGCGGCTCCCATTCTCCCGTTAAGAATATCGCATGATGTGCTTGAGTCCTATTCCGTGCCTCTCGTCTGCACTGCTTCAGAAAAATGACCAAAAGTAAAAAAAAAAAAACTGTACACGATTTGAACCTTCCCAGAACGCGATTCCTCACGCGAAGGGATTTTACCTCCTCAAAACCCGATTCCATGAGCAAGAAGAAGACAGGCTTCGCCACGACCGTCGTTGCGAGTCGAATGTCATCCATATATAAACGATATGGCTAGCTGGCGAGTGTCATGCCCTCTGGATGCTCATTCCGCCTCCATAGTAAGGCGGGCCGTGACGTGTGTGCATCGCCGTGTTGCGGAGTCCAGTTCAGGTCGTTTTTCGGCCGAGTTTTCGTTTAACTTTCATCTCGTCTACGGCTGGGCGTGAAAGAGAGGAGAGGAGCTCGGTCCTCGTTTTGCATTAGCAACAATAGATATGCAGATAGAGAGAAGAGTTCTGTGAAATATTTTCTCACTTGCCTGAGCGATAACTTTTTCCTCGTCACCATCACGAAGAAAACGAGGAAATATTTTTCGAGCAGACTTTTCTTTCGTCTCGACATGCAGCTCTTTTTTGCTCTATCCCACAAAAATAGCTCGCTGTATTCCCTATGCATAATCTTTTCCCCCCATTTTTCTGTAGAGGAAGATGGCACGGAGAGGTGAGGATCCACGTGTACAGCACGCGAGAGGACCCGTGGAACATGAGGCAGTTCTGGACGGAGGCGAAGACGCTGAGCCTGTTGAGGCACGAGAACCTGCTCTTGTTCATGGGTGCCTCGGCGGCACCGCCCAGGGTGGCCCTCGTCACGGCTGCACCCCGGGGACCTTCTCTGCACTCCCAGATCGCCCGGCATTCGTCCATCTCCTGGCCGACCAAGATCAACATCGCCGGACAGGTACTCGCCCGATCGAAACTCGACGTCGTTTTCACTATAATTTCTATATCGGCGATCTCTCGGAATCGCGTGCCCCACATGCCCCGCGTGCCCCGCGTGCCCCACGTGCTTCGCCCTCGAGCCTTCGTCGTTTGAGGGAATCGTACGATTCCATGAAGCCGTGCACGTGGCCGGCACCGTGGTCGATGGATCCCTTTATAGAACGTCCCCATGGCGACAAATGCGGAGCTCGACTTCCCTGGAATTACTCTCCGCATTACTCCGCTGCGGAGGTCCAAAATAACTCGATCGTTCCCATGCGTTATTGAAGGCCTCGTTACGCCGACCGAAAAAGGCTTCGAACGAGATTCCTTTCAGCCTGTTGATCGCGCGAGAACGAGCGAGGTGAAGCCACAGGGTGAGAGAGAGAGAGAGCATGAGTATGAGATGAGGCGATCGATGAAAATAAAAAAAAGGGAGAGCCGAGCTGGAGATCGTCAGGGATTCAAACTCTTCTTCCTGTTAGACACGCCCATCGTTGCGTACCGTCGCGACCTTGTATTTTTCATGGGGGACTTTAATGAAGCTTGGCCCATATTTTAAATTATTTTTCTTCTACTTCTGGGTAAAAGAAAACTACCTTCCTTTGTCATATTTTATAGCTTCTTACTATTAACATGTATTATAAATAACCGTGCAGCAGTTTACTAGGCAACGAGAAAGGATATTCTTTATAAATCCCGTTTCTGAGAGATACTCCGTTTTCAAGGGAAATGGGAAAATAGATCTCTCTTCTAAATCATTGGATCGCATTACCGTAAGATGTCGCTTTCTTCCACCGCCCTCTGCCTTTCCTCATGACTCGGGGCATTGCAAATCCCAAGAATTAAATTCGAATGCGACCGGCGAAGGTCGACGATGGTCGATTTCCACCACGGCGAACCTGCAGCTCCGAATTCGCTTTCGTGGGCAGAACGCACGCGGAGAGAACGACTGGAATGCTTGGAATGTTTTATGCATAATCGATTGCATGAGGTGCGAGGTGAGTCGTGTCAGAGACTGGAACTGCATTTAAATCGCGTCAGAGAGCTTCGCGGGAATTCTGAGAAATGTCTGGGACCCTCCCGAGGCCCGGGATTTCGCTGTACCGCTCGACAACTTTTCTGAGGCTCCAAGTTGAGGAACGGAAAGGACCGCGGGCTCTGCGAATTACCGAGTATCATCAAATATTTATCCATGCAAGAGGACTGAGCGAGGATTTTTTCATCGGAATTTCTCTTCCGACGGGAAAGTGTCTCCTTTGATCCAAGGATGTTGAAGAGGGCTCTATTTTCCTTTTCTCTCGAATAAGGTCTATCTCACCGAAACGTTGGGAATCATAAAGAATTTATTTTCCTGTTGGCAATTACATACTTCGCGAAAGGGGACCGATTTCGCGTTTGTGTTTTCTGCCATCAAAAAACGAACGCTGGAATCAGTGGAATCGAGCTCGAGATATCGAGCAATCGTTCGCATGATCGACTGCTCGGTTCCACTTTCGTCTTTTCTATTGCAAATATTTTCTTGCGTGCAAGATCTCGATGCGGTGCACATATTTGGCACCGAGAATCTTCGGGCATGAAAGGTGCTCGCTCGATATATGGATAATTTTCGGCCTTGCGTCGTCAGGTGGCTCAGGCGATGGGATACCTCCATGCGAAGGGAATAGTCCACCGGGAATTGAACACGGAGAACATTTTCCTGGAATCCAAGGTGAAAGTCTCCATCCTCGACTTCAGCGCCGTCCATTACGACTCTACCTGCAGGTAAATCGACCGCTTTTTCCTCTGCTCGTCTTTCCCTCGGGGGGGGGGGGGTTCCAACGAGTCTCCCGCGTATCGTATGATCCAGTCGTGCGAAAGTGGAATGCAGAGGGGAAGCGAAATGCGGCATCGTTCGTGTCGTCGTGCCCGTCCGAGATTCGTTTTGGCGCGGGCGCATCGCCACGACTCGCAGCGAACGTCGCCAGCGAAGCGCCGTCTTTCCGTTCGTGCTCTTCCGTGATGTAACGAGGACGTGAAAGGGCATCGGTAAGATTAACGACCCGTCTCAGATATGCCGCCCGACTTCACCGGCATCGAGGCATCGCAGAGATTCGTCCTCGAATCCTGCCCGTTCTCAGATGACGAAGGTGAAGACGGCCGAAGACGGCCCCCCTCTCCCCCCCCTTAACCTTTCTCCCACAACCCGAACGTTTTTCCTCGTTTTTTTGCGCATCAAAAATTCCTAGGATTGTACTCGAGGAACGGGAAATTGTGTTGACTTTTTTCATGCCTCCCTCGGGAGAACGAAGAGCTCTTGCATTATCCATGATCCAGACGAAATTCATCATCTCTTGCAAGCATACGTAGACGTGGAACGTTCATCCCATGTTCCGCGAAGGAACGAACGAAGACGCGAAGGGACACGAGTGGATTCGCAGGCCGGGACGAGCACGAACCGACCGTTTCCTCGACCGACGGCGCTTAAAGGCTCCCGTTCCCGGATTCTCGATTGCGGTCGTTTCCTTCTCGGTCGTCGAGGGTCCTCGTTTCTCGCGGTCGTGCACGACGAGTCTCTTGCGATCGTCTCGTCCCGTGCTTCCGATCGACAGTCGGGTCGATTCGGGGAATTTTCGTTCGTACCGGCAGCCGCACCGTGACGATCGAAAAGGCCATAATGACCGAAGGTCGGTCCGCACGTTCGATCGATGGCAGATCGCGAAGGTCACCCAACCACACCCTTTAAGCATGCACACGAAGTCGACGTGTGAAATTCGGTGCTCCGAGATCTTGGCGACGTCGCGAAGTGCACCGAATGTAGCATTCCCGCGTGAACGTGAGCGTGAACGCGAGCTGTGAGGGTGGAGTGACTTCTGAATCTTACCGGTGAGATCGGCAGCGAGAAGACAGAGCTCGGGAAAAATAATGCAAATCCTTTTCTGTGAATTATTGTATGAATCGTTGGAGCATTCCGCCTCCAGGTGATGATCTGCGGCGTACTTCCGGGTCTGATTTACGGGATAGTAAGAAACGTAGTGCAGGTTCGGACAATTTTATCCGGAAGTTAAATAGAAAGAATCTGTATAACTAGCTAAAAGACTGCTGTTGCTTAACAGAGATTCGTTTCCTGAATCTGCGTTTGCAAGAAAAAAGTTCCTCCGGGCAAGCGCAATCTGACGGCCATATAGGAAGCAGGAGAAGTTGGAATCGGAACCGCGATGCGATCGATCCGATAACCTAGATCCCGGTCCTCGATCCTGTTCTTCCACGATGTTTACAAAATATTTCCCCGGAGAGAATAGCGTTATGCGTTGGAACTCCACGAGAAAGACCAGGAAGACGGTCTCGTCGGGATCTCGTTCGAAGCGAGTCCCTGCGAGTTTCAATTTCTTTCCAGAAAGACGGAAAGGAAGGTGTTTCCCATTTTCAGTCGATTCATCCCGGCAATCCGAACCGTAAATTCCTTTCGTTTCGGCAGCAGATGGCGGAACGCCCTTTTATTCCTCTAATCGAGGAATAAAAGGGAGGAAGCCCTCGTCCAACGAAGAGGATGCCCTCGTCTGTCTCGGTCGAGGACTTCTATGACCTCGAAAGTAAAACCGAGCATGTCATTAGCCCGGTTTTATTAATGCGTCGTCGAGTGTTTCACTGCTGCAGATAAATAGTTATTTACGACACGGATATTCAATCGAGCGTAATGTAACCAAACAAAGGCTTTCCTCGGGGGATCATTCCTCTCGTATCGTCAGATGTGCTTTCTTTAAGGAACGAGAGACGTGCTAGCACGGAACGTCGCGATATGAGATTCTTAGCAGATTCCACACGTGGAAGCGATAGGAAAGGTCACTCTCATAGGTCTCCATATCGCAATATCAAATTCGAGTCGTCTTACTCGACGGGAACCTCGATTCGCGACGCATTTCTCTTCCCCGTGGTGTCATGCGCTTCGCCTTCGCCGACGCACGTTCAAACCGGATATCTGGCATGAGGATGATTTGTGGTGCGATGTCCCAGGCCAGGTATGGGGAGCATGCCGAGGAGGAAGCTGCATTACCTGAGTCCGGAAATGATGAGATCTCTCCTCGTGGAGCCGCCTTTCATTCGCATCGCCTCGCCCTTCTCCACTCACTCGGACGTCTTCGCTTTCGGGTACGCGAATCCTGCTTCCTTCTTCCTGCTTTTTCCGACTTTTTATCTATCTTATTTTGTTGCATGCGCTTCTCGTGAAATTTAAAGATATTCGGTTTCATTTTTAACCGGTTTATTTCCTGCTTCATAGCTCTCGGACTAAATAAGTGCAACTATTACACTTCCAATTGTAATTTGCCTTGGTGAAACATAAATGTCGAAACAAGGATGAAATGTAATGCGCTAGCCTTGGCATTACATCACGTGTCGGATATGTATGTATTTTTTTACTTTTTAAAATTACGTAAAATTAAAGAATGTTTTACAATTATATTCAGATTACTTTCCATAAAGTTGCGTGGCGTTACTCATCGTTTCACCAGCATTCAGTGAGGATTTTCCGATATTTTTGATACTTGCTTGACCAGTCTGACCTTTTCTTTACGAAGACCGAATATGATCACCCTACTTCTTTTTTTATTTCCCCCGCATCTGAAGATGTTTTTATTTATTCAGGATCTGACGGTCCTCTCGAGACTGAGCCAATGCATCGTGACTTTTCCTCTTACTTTTCCGAGATATGACGATCTCTTTATTTTTTATTTATAGCTTTTGTCTCACGACCGTTGAACTTGCGACAGAGCTTATCAGTACAGTAACGGATGCTCATACAATACGACAGAATTTCTCGATTCGTTATTTCTTTCTCGATACATCGAGGAAACTGCCATTTTGCAACGATGCATCGCGAATCCTTTTGAATTTCTCGGGCAGAGGACCGATAGGACGTACGATCACTTCGTTTGTCCTCTATCTCGAGGCACGACCTAGAGGTAGAGGACAAATCGACCTTTAGTCACGTTTGACTAAAGGTCGGATTCCCATCATATTATTAAATTGATACGTCTATTTGATATTCGATGAGTCTATTCTCAACCGGATTTAAATAAGAATGACGAGGAGGTGAATTTTTTTTAATTTTCGTCTGATTGGATTTTTAAACGAGAATCGCTCTTAGGGAAGACATGGCACGTCCTTCTATTCCATACTTCATTTCTTAGACGATTCTCAAGCAGTCGGATCCTGCTCTCTTGTTCCCTGCGACTCTTGATATGTTTTGTATACAGGGATTTTGACGTTCGTCAATATCGGCATACTACTTCTTTTTCTGGTCTCCGAATGAGGAAAGAAATTAGGAAAAACGAGCCATCCTTGCAAGCATAAGATGAAGGTCTCTCTCTCCGTGCTTGGTGGCAAAGGATATCTAATATATATAGACGATCGTGACTGACTGACGCTAATTCTAACCATGTGCTAGAGAAGTTAGAAATCTGAAACTTGATCAAACAAACTCGCTAGTATGACGCTAATTCTAACCATGTTCTAGAGAAGTTAGAAATCTGAAACTTGATCAAACAAACTCGCTAGTTAGAAATAGCGATATTTTCACCCGAAGAGCTCATGAACGTTCTCGAAACGTTCAACCTATGTTCAAAGAGGTCTTTGATCGTTCAATGTTCACGAATGAGCAGCTTTTAGGCGCTCAGTTAAGATACCATTTGATCCCCAAAATTCTCTTCTTCATGATGTTTCTAAAGGACATCAGTCGAACGTTAAATAAAACGTTTTCTTTAAGCGCATCTGTGCTACTAGATCGGGGCAGCGGAAAAAACCATCTGGCAGAGGCTCGAACAAACAAGGTTCGCACAATCGAAGCGAGATTACACCTAATTCGTCGATACGACGTACCAATACCTGGTACCACTGAAATTAGTCCCCAATACTTTTCTCATGGTATCCGATCTTTCCCCGCAGACACTTTACGGTAGGGGAAAACATGAATTCTCTCATTCGTTCGGCTAAAGAGTCCCAGTCTAAGGAGTCTCCAGGAAACTCTGGCTCGGAGGATGGAGGGTGGATAATTCAAATTGCAACCTGACTTCATGGGATAAACATAAGAATATCCCACGACAGTGCATGTCATCGCTTCGAAGCGCAGGGTGTGTCTAACTCCTCGAGAGGATATAGATCCGGATGTGATGAAAGATTCCAACCAAGGGACGCGTACCTCCCGAGCGGAAAAGAACTATTGAGCTGAGAGGAAACGTTCTGGTCCTGTAAAGGAAGTTGAAATCCCATAAGGAGACAGGAAGGATGGATGGGAATATTACCTTCCTCCACAAGGGAAGTTGGTATTCCCAATCACGCTGAGAGAGACTCAGCTGCATGATGACCTCTGGCACGGAAGCAAGGCTCTATTTTTATATTATATAGAACCATTTAAATAGTGAAGAGAACGATTCCACGATGTTCCACTCCTAACTCATATTTCTCTCCTTTCTCACTCAGTTTTATGCACCAGTATTTTGAAAATAAATGATTCGGCTACCGTCATATTGATGATGCCCTCTCTGAAAAGGCTGATCCATTCGAGACTGCACGGATATGTTTTTATGTTCAATCAGGACGGTGCTGTACGAGTTGCTGAGCGAGAGGAGTCCGTGGGAATGCGTAGACACTCACTCGGTGATTTTTCGTGTCGGCAAAGGGATCTATCATCCGGTTGACCACCTCTCCTCTCCCCAACGCATCAAGGTTTGCAGTCAGCATCCTCTCCATTTATTAATTGAACAAGGAAATCGGTCAAACTCAGAGAAGCTTTATTTTTAAAGAAGAACCTGCGTCATGAAATGAGATATTTATTTCGTTGTGGCACGAAGTAGCTCCATGAATGTCTCTTAAGATCTTTTTACCGGATTTTTATGACACATTTCTTATATTTGCCCATCAAGAACCGGGCTATTTTCGATTCTGATGGATCTGCACCGTGAAAAGTCCTTGCGAGATAGATGTGGGCATGAAAACCCATTTGAACATGAAAGGTTGAACTCTAGGAAAGACTGGATTGGATACGGGAGTATAAGGCTATGAGGAGCTATATATAGGATGCTATAAGGAGCTATTCTCCATCGGAGACGACATGGGTCATCTCGATTCCATTTATACCGAGGTTTAATCATTCGGAAACCTTGGATGAGCCCAGAGATTCACTGTAGGCGAGTCGAGGTTTTGCAAGCCCTTATCCAACCCAGATTATGAACTTGTGACAGCAAGAGATGACAGTTGACACTCTTTCCTTCAGAGGGTCTAACGGCTAATGCCACTCGCGCATATGTTGATGCGATAGTGAGAATGGATCCAACCGATCTGGCTTTCCGTTCCTTTCTCAAGCTCCCTTTTCTGATGGAAATTTGAAGTCTCGGAATCGGTCCGATACGGTTGGGGTACCCCGAGTATCCACCGCGTAAAACCACCGAATGAATATTTAACTGTTAAAAATTAGCAGAACATTTGAAAAAGCGAAATTCGTTCCGAAAACGAACTCGAGAAGCAAACAAGAAAGACTTTGCTTACAAAACGATGGCAGATGTTTGCCAAAATATTGTTTCAAAAGATACATTGATGGCTAGGTTCCTATAGAGGAAACTGAGAGCACGGATGCGATTAGTCGATCGCTTGATATGCTTCCTCTCGTACTTCCTGGACATCACTCCGATAGTGATCGATCCGAATCCAATGTGCCGTCTAGGTCTGTAGGTCTGTGGGTCATACAAACCAAGGTCTGTGGATCGAACAAACCATTTTCCGATTTCCTTCTACCCTGATATGTTCAGCAGTCTGATCTCACTCGACTCCATCTGAACCCCGATTGATAAGAGATGCTTTTCTCATTCCTAGGCAATAATTGGCCTTATTTCTTTCCTTTGTGGTGTAGGACCTGATCCACAACTGTTGGAACCCAGATCCAGAGAGTCGTCCGGAATTTCCTCGAATCGTCCGGCTCCTTCGGAGTTCCATGTCCTTGCATCGTCATCGGAGCACTTCAGAACCCAGGAAACTTCATCGGATGGGACTCACTTGATAAAAGACGATATTAAAAGCAAAGGCACCGTCAGAGACAAAGCGAACTGTCACAAGGGCTAATTTCCCGATCTGCGAGTGACGGACATTATGAACTTTTTGCACCGTTTCTAGGGCTGGATGTTGATATCATGATGTTGTGATCTCAAAAACTGATCTCAATCTACCTATTTTCTTTACCTATTTGAATGTCTTTTTTTCATAAATGTGAACCCCGTGGAAAAAGAGGATGTCAGTGTGATATTTTTCTCTCCGGTGTTCCTCGTTGTTTTCCCACGTGGCTTCTTGATATAAAGATCTTTTGAAGAGATGACACTGTCTCTTCCTTTCGTCCCCGCTCGCGCTCGTCGAATCCGTAGATCGATAAGGACGGCTACTGCACTATGTACTGCAGTAAGACGTGGTACTGTCCCCTTTTGTTGGTTATTCCTCTCAAATCTGACAGGCTTTCATTCGATGTCGGTTATTGTGCGGGGACTAAGAGAATCTGATCCGACGGTATGGAGGACATGACGTTGAGGCGTTGAGAGCCTTGTTGCCATGGAATCGTCCTTAAGTCAAGTGGCCCCCTAATGAGACTTTTTCCTAATGAGAATGAGACTCTCCTCCCCTGTGAGATTTTTTGTGATTTTCTGAGCCTCCTGTTCTAGAAAAAAAAGCCTCCTTATTCCCTCATTAGTGATTCACTGCAGATTTTTTTTTTTTACAGGAAACGACAAACCAAATGACTTCCTTTTCTATTACCTTCGCGCAGAATTTCGTGAGACCCTCCTGCCGCTCATCCCCTCCATCAGGGAGGTGGCCAGGACACCGGAGGATATGCGACGTGCTGCTGTCACGTCTATTATCCTTTGAATGCAGTGCATAGTGGATAATAGAGATTTAACATAACTGATTTTCATAAGTGGGCCATTTGTTCACTTTTGTTGACAACGCACGGCACGGACAGCTTTGTCGCACCCATGGCCCCTGTAGCATTCGTATTAATATTCACGATCCTGTGTCCAACTATTTACGAGATCTGATGTGCTGAACAAGTGAACTTTCTTTATAATCACCCTGTACAAAAATCCGTAGAGGAAAGCATATCCGCTGCTTGTGCTAGAATATCCTTAACTGTGCACCCAGCTTCATGAAGTAAAACACATTTTGGCGAGCTGCAGGAAGTGCTAGACCCCCCAAAGAGGGTACGAAAACAACTGGAAAAGTGTTGTTTTCTTCAGGTCCTCCTACTTCACCAAGAGGACACGTATGTAGTAGATCATGCTTTCCACGAAGCTCAAAAGGTTCAAGGTTCAAGATTCGGGTCGGGACGTCAAGAGGCATTTCCACTCATTAGGACATCCCTTTTCAAAGTAGAACTTTCATGTATCATAAGTAGGGCTGTACCGATGTATCGGTCGCCGGTGTTGCACTATCAGCGCCATCGGCCATCGGCCTATGGCGGCGGTGCCAGTGCCGATGCTCAAAGGACGGGCTAAGGGAAAAAAAATGACGTGAGGGTGTGAACGCGGCTAGGCGCCGGCCCTCCTGTCTCACTGAAAGCCACTCCTGCCAGCCTCTCCCAGACATAACTATCGATTGAATTATATTCCAGCCGGATCACAGGAACCGGCGGAGGAAGGTAGCGGTAAAGAAGGGAAATCATTGCATCTCCATTTACGTCTAACAAGCTAACCACTGACGGCCTTATAAAGAGACAGACAGGCTGGACAGGACCGAAAATGGTCTCCATCGTTTCAGGGCCTGCTGATAAGTATCACATGGCTTCCAATTAGACCTATTAGAATTTATAGGCAATTTCATCTACAGGCCATAATCGGCACCGGCCAATGGTTATGAGGAAAATATGGCCATCGGCCCACCGGCCAAATGTGGCCATCGGTACAGCCCTAATCATAAGATAGGCCTACCCCTCTACTCTAATTTCCTTTCCCCCCGAATTTCATGCAAACAAAGGCAGTTTTGTGACAAGAATTACGCACGATTTAAAAATATTCCATAGCCAAGTTTTATTCTAAAAATAATATGATTTCCTGTTCTCATGATCCTTGAGGCATCTGGACCGATCTCATGAAGCTGACCTCATGAGGTCTTATGCCATTTACATCATGGAGGCTAATCCCTGCTGGAAAAAACTCAATGAGATCCTCCTGATGTTTTCGAACAGAGGTCTCATGAGGTCTCACAACTTTATCAAGAGAAAGTCGTGAGACCTCGAAAGTAATCTCATAATCCTCATCGGGGCTGGCCCATATGTGCTTCCGCACAGGGCGCAAATTCACAAGAGGCGCCAAAATGTGACCGAAGCAATGATGGAAGCCACCCTCATTTTTACACGAGAATAAGGAAATGTCCGCCCTTTCTACTTCTCTTTGGACGCTAGGGATCGACGTTTCTCCCTGTTCCCATACCCCCTCCCCTATGTTCCCAAGAGAGGGAGACTCTTCAACACCAGCACAAGGCCGAGATTCTCATATTATCGTTTCATGCGAGTCGAATCAGAGAGCGCTCGCATCACATCAGTCGATAACGTAGCGCACCCTATCTCAACAATTGTGGTTCTCCTTTATGATTTATTGCCGGTGAGTGCGGGGATCGTGTCATCGTGCCCCCCACCATCTTGGGCTTTGGGCTTTGTGCTCGAACGCGTACTTTCATTACTTTTTTTTTTAAATTATTACGAGAGCGGAATAGCCAAGGGAAGAGTTCCTTCCGACGGACCGAGGCTAACCAAAACCAGTGGCGTAGGGAAGGGGGGGGGGGGGGTTTAGGGGGTTAGAATCCCCCCCTTGGGCTTCCCGGTCAGTAACACTGACAGGCATATTTCAACCTTCTTTAGGAATTCCAATTTTAGCTATGCCCCTTCGAGGAAAGTCTAATGTCCGTCCACAGACCCAAGATGCAAGACCATGATTTCTTTGAAACAGTAAATTCCGGGTAGTGGAGCCAGGCGTAGGGTTGGGTGTCTACCTGGCCTCAACCCCCCCCCCCCCCCTCCCTGCCGATTTCCTGCCTACGCCACTGACCAAAACCACTCGGTTCGGCGCATTTCCGCCTTTGGTCACAGCTACACTGCCAACGATGCAAAAGCCTGCGCGGTCTTTTACACTTGGTTGTCCCATCCATCGAGGACAGTGGTTCTCAAACCGTTTAGTGTCACGACTTCTTTTGGACGCCTACTGCCTGCGACCGTGCAATTTTTAGAATTGCCAATCGCGGACAAAGTGTCGCTAAGGCCTACGTTTCAGAAATACGAGGGTCCTAGACCAAGTACCACGAGAACGAGCTGGATTGCTTCAAACTTGTCTGACTCGATTCATCAGTCATACGAGGGGGGGGGAAGTAGTGACAATTTTGCTATACGGTGGTGTACACAATTCGTATTACGGCACAGAGACAGGTACAATTGCTCATGCGATAGTAGAAAGAGTTTTAGACTATGGGGCAAAACCACTCATAACTACACGTCACTTTTACACAAAGTCCAAAATTATTATAATTGTTATTCCAAAGTTGTCATTACTTTTGCACCCTCCCTCGTAGAAGCCCCTCAGTTTTATGACGAATTAAGTGCCATCTCTGCTTTAGTCACTCTAGGAACTTCCCGATTCCAATGCCTTCACCACCTGCACAGTCGATGTCTGCATTCCCTTGAGAATCCTTCTCACAATCCCAGTAACCGTGACTTCAACTGAGCGAAGCATTTCGAAGTTGACGCTCATCCAAATGCACATTTGTTGGAGTAGGACTTACTACAACATCCATAGAAAATGGCATTTACACAGAACTGGATTAAGCGGAGTTTACTGTTTGCCATCACCGCTCCCTGCACGCGCCAACATCGCACCTCCAGCCATACGAAGGGAAGCACAAACGTCACGTGCCTTCGAATCCATGTCCGCCGACACGAATCTACCCATCCATCGTATCATAGACGACCCACCGAAAAAACGGCTAAAATCCCACTCTCCTTTATGGGAGAGGGCGGCAGCTCTCGACCCGCCTTCCTTCAATGTGGAGAAATGCTGGAGAACACGGGAAAACACCAACATCCCAAATAATTCGCTCGTCTCCGATCCAACAGTGCAGCCTCCCGGCTTCGACCTCAGCCGCCGGGATGGTCAATTTTGAATCGCATCCGGACAGGCCAAGGTCGTTGCGCCCAGCTCCTCCACCGCTGAAAAATGAGGGACGACCCATCGTGCGATTGTGATCACGAAGAACAGACCATGCAGCACATCATCCATCAGTGCCCCCAAAGGAAATATCCGGGAAATATCACAGACATACATAATGTTCTTCCAGAAGCCATTAACTGGCTCACCAACATTGACATTGACTTTTAAAGACCTTGCAAGCCAAACGATAGAATGAAATAGACTGTATTTGCCAAGCAGACAGTTCGCAAAATCACCTTCAAGTGATGCGTGGTGTCGAGTCAATTTAACTGTCTCTCTTGTACAAAGTTAAGAAGAACTTCTTTTTGTCAATACCTTTTTCTTACTAGAAGAGACCGTTAACGCTGAAGGGCCCCTATGAGAGAGCCGCATTGAATTGCGAGCAAGAGTCACTAGTCGATATTAGAGCTATACTAAAATACCCCCTCCTTCCACATCACACACACACACACACATTTTCATTAGAAAATGTGGAAGGAAGGGGGGGGGGGCAGTCTCTTTGCTAGGACCGGCCCTGATCCTCACGGGAATTCGGCAAATCTCATGAGTTTATAATGAGGTTTTTTCAACAGGGTTTGATCAGGGCCGGATTAAGGTTATGAGGGGCCTAAGGCTAATGGGAGGGAAGGGCCTAAGTATGAATTAAATATTGCAAAAATATGAAAAATTAGGGCCTAAAGTAGGGTCTAAGCCTATTAGCCTTATTTGCCTATGGGTTAATCCAGCCCTGGGTATGATAGGCAACTTCTAGGTAATACGAACAGGTGGGGTTTTGCATGATCACTAGCGGTCCGATGGCGAAAGGAAATTGTTTGCACTGTCTTCAGGTTTGCAATATGCCCTCCACATTACCCGTGAAAGGGTTAAACATAAATATTTTTGTGAGAAGTACCTACC